AGTGGGATGTGCAGGTAGCATCCAGCCCTGCCCTTCTGGTCCCCCAGCTCATTGCCCTAGGAGAAGGGAATGGTGGGGGAGGGTCCTGGCCTTCCCCTGCCCAGAGGAGGCCGAGCCTCTGAGTGTCCTGACTCCTTCCCGGGAGGAGCCGGTTGCCTTTCAGGCACGTTGGATGGGTGGGTTGAGGGGCCGGCAGGCCTTTCTAATCCTGGATGATGACCAGTGCTTGGTTCAGCTTAAACCTTTCTGAAAAGAGAATTCTCGAGATGGTTGGCAGGATGGTACCTTTCCTACCAAGGAGATCTACTTTCCTCGGAGAACCGATTCTGGCAGCCGAATCTTGACGTTCCTTTGCGGACAGGTCATCTCTGGCATTGATTTCCTTACCACACTGCACGGGGTTGCAGTGCGTGGTGATGAACTTACGCAAGAATTGCCGAAGGGCGAGGACCCTGCTTGCTTAGGGCCTGCCGTCGCTGTCTTGGCAGATCCAGGGCCCGGTTTTATTCCGGTTTATAGCTGGTGACACAGTGGCCAAGAGCATGGAATGCCACACTACACTTGAGCAGATGCGAGACAGAAAAACTGCGCTAACTTCACAGGTGTGGATGCTGGGGAAAGGGCTTTGGGGAGGATGGTCAAAGCAGTATAGTGAAAACAGCTGTTTTCTAATCTGTTTTAGACCCGGCAAAAGGAAAATCGGGCAATTTATTGCAACGAAACACTCTTCTCCTGAGTATAGAACATCTGTCTGTGCCCTGCCCTCAGGAATGGACACTTTTGTCTGGCAGTGATCGGCGATCTCTGTTGAATTCTGTTATCTGTTGGGTGACAAATCCCCCCAGAACTTTGTGCCTAAAACAATAATGATTTAGTATTTCTCACGAACCCTTGGGTTGACCTGGAGTTTTCCCTCAGGTCCAGGTCTCGCTTGGACTCACTCACTGCCCATGGTCGGCAGGAGAGCTGCTGGCCTAAGGTCAGCTAGGACGCTGGGCGCCCCTCTCCGTGTCTGCAGTTGGCCCGCTGGGTGGCTAGGGCCTGGGTTCCTCTCCACAGTTCCTCTCCAGCAGCTAGCTCAGGCCTCCTTAGGTGTTGATGGAGGTGAAAGCTGCAGGGCCTCAGGCTTAACCTCGTAAATAGCACAGTGTCTACCCCAGGGCCAGCCCAGATTCAAGGGGAGCAGCAGGCAAAGTTGAATAGGGGCCTGGGCTTGGGGATGGGTTAGTTATTAAAGCCATTGTTGTAACAGTGTCCGGGCTGGCCTGGTCCCAAGGATTTCTGTCCCTCCAAGCTGTGGGCTACACTTCACTCCAACCGTCTCGCCCTTCCCTCCGGGTACAGCAGTGGCCTTCAAGTCTGCGCCCGCCTGCCCCAGGTCAGGGCTGGATGTGGACGGGGCGCATTGCAGCTCCTTGGGGGTGGCTTCAGTTGATTCAGAGAGCCGTGAATTGAAAAGACACACTCCACACCCCATGGAGAGACGAGGTAGATGATCGTGTTCAGAGAGGGGGCAGAGAGACAGTTAGTAAATGGTCCGTAGCAGTTCTGCTGTCCGGCTGTGCTGTCAGGGCCTGTGCCGGGGCAGCACCCTGCTTCTAGCATCCTTTTTTTTTTTTTTTTTGCGGTACGCGGGCCTCTCACTGTTGTGGTCTCTCCCGTTGTGGAGCACAGGCTCCGGATGCTCAGGCTCAGTGGCCATGGCTCACGGGCCCAGCCGCTCCGCGGCATGTGGGATCTTCCCGGACCGGGGCACGAACCTGTGTCCCCTGCATTGGTAAGCAGACTCTCAACCACTGCGCCACCAGGGAAGCCCTAGCATCCTTTTTTGTACCAGTTCTCTACTGGGGTACAGTAACACACCAACCAGGACTTGATGGTTTAAGACAGATTCTGTGGATTGACGGGGATTTTGGCCGGGCGCTCCCTTGAGGATGCTCTCCTGTGCCGGGGTTCAGGCTGGGTGGCCTAGGCTGGCCGCGTGCACGTCCTGGGCCTCAGCCGGGGATCCATGCAGTGGCTGCGATGGACCTCCCACCGCACGCTCACTCCCAGCCTCCCCAGCCCTTTGAGGCCCATGCTCAGAAGTCACCACCTTCTGTGGGTTAAAGCATGTGACAAGACCAGCCCACATTCAAGGGATGGGGACATAAGACTATTCCTTTCTTGTTGGAGGAGTGCTGAAGGGGTGTGGATACAGCCGGGATTCATTGGCCATTATTTTTGTAACAATCTCCCACACTCTCATCTCTGGCATGGTAGGGGTTTGGACACATTCTTGTTGGCTTTGTTTTAATTAACTCCCAAAAAGGAACACCACTGTTTTTCTCAGTATGGGGGTGGGGCAGTCAGTGCAGGGGGGTCAGGTCCGCTGACCTAAAACAAGCCTCATTTCAGCAGCACATCATCTAGTCAGGGCTGCCTCACTTCTCCCCCCGGGTCTGCTAAGCAGTGCTTCTCAAAGCGTGGTCCCCACGCCAGCAGCACCTGCATCACCTGGGCGCTGATACTTGGCTCCCCCGCAGATGCACTGCCGCAGGCCTGGGTGGGTGGGGGGGCGGGTCTGATTAGCCCTCCAGGTGATTCTGATGTGCCTGAGAGTTGAGAATCACTGCTAATGGGAGTTCAGGTGGCTCTGACTGCCTCTTCCGTAACCCTTCCAACCAGTTCCCCCACCCAGGCGCTCTGTCTCCCTGAGTCAGCGTGTTCTTTGGGTCAGTGTGAGGCTGTGGTTTTCTTACTGCTCAGGGGACACCTGGGGACCGTCAATGGTGTGCCCAGGCACGCAGGTGGAAAGGAGAGTAAAATGTGGTTCCCGAATGCCCTCAGCGTGGCGTGTGGCGTGGTGAGGGAGGCTGTGTGCGTGGAGGATGGCCAGTTCCGAGGCAGAGATGACACATTCGGTGCGTACAGGCGGAGCTTGCCGCGTCCAGGCCGAGGAGGTATCAGCAAGCAGTGGATCCTGGGCGTTAAAGCTCAAAGGACTGCACCAGCAGTTTGGAAGTTACCACGTACCCTGTAATTTAGAAGTTTGTTTTCAAAGGTGCCTGTTCAGTGGGGGTCTTTTGAAAATATGGATTACACGACCCCCTCCTCCCCCCACCCTTTATGACCGGGCGAGTGTTTGGGGACCTCTGAGTGTCCCGGGTGATTCTTCAGTAGCCAGGTTTGGGGAACAGGGTCCCAAACCCCGGGGAGAAGGAGAGAAAGACAGGAGGCCAAGTCTGGAGCCTCGGGGTGGCTGCCCTTGATGACGGCCAGCCCGGGCGGGTCTGCGCCTGAAGACTCTTCTGGCACCAGGGAGACTGGAAGAGGACGAGTGGGGAGTAGCGTCGTAGATGCCGGGGGACTGGCAGGCTACGGGGGGCCGACCTCGTGGAGGATCCGACGCCAGAGCGGGGGCCAGACTGTGACGGTGGGGACCTCGTGGGGGGAGACGCTGGGGAGGAGTGAGCGGGGAGGGCGACCTGCAGCAGGTGGTGGTGGTTTTTCAACGGGAGACACCCCAGCGTGTTGCCCAGGGCAGAGACAGGCGGGAGGGGCGCGTGGAGAAGGGGGTCGGGGATGAAGCCGCGTCCTGGGGGCGGGCAGGGTGGGTTTGAAGCTTCTGGGATTGGCCTTGAGAAGGAGGGCCAGCCTTCCTCACCCCGGAGGGGAGGACAGAAGGGAAAGGGCATGAGAACGGGAGAGGCTGTAGCTGCTGGAAATGGACGCGGCCTCTCGTGTCCCCCTTTCCTGGTCACTTTTCTCACGTTTATGGATGAGACCTGTGAGCTTTCACTTGTTCACTGTGCCGTCTCATGCGGGGCCTCTGTGGTGTCCGCTCGCGCCTGTGTCACTGGGGTCCGTTCACGTGGGAAGGGGGCTGGTGGGTGTCAGCTCTCCTCGGAAGCACCGCTGACCACTCTGCGGGTTCACCTGGGACGGCAGGTTAGTGGGGCGCCCGGTTCGCCCACAAGGCTCGGTTAACCCAGTGCCGCCCAGATTGCCGTAGTTCTGTGTCTGTGACCCCTTATGTTCTGTGGGTCCCTCTTCCGTGTCTGGTGTCCTTCCTCCTTCAACCCTCCTCTTCCTCCCTGCTGTTTCACAGGGAAGGGTGGGCGGCTCCCGGGCCTTCTGTTGCCCCGTGGGGCTGCAGCCTGAGCGGCTCAGCGTAGTGAGATGTGCAGCGTGCCTAGCTCTCCTTGCGAAGTGTCAGCGTCACCCCTCTCACCCGCCTGGGGCTGACAGGTGCTGCCCATCGAGAACCCAGCAGCTCACACTTCTCTCTGGTCAGGGAGCTGTTGGGCTGGGTGTTGGAGTCCTTACAGCTGAAGCCTAGGAAGTGTAGGCTGTGTGTGTTTTTCAGCTAATCACGTTGGTGGTTAAGAGCTTTTAGAAGCCATTTTCAAGGGTATGATGTTCACCTGACAAAAGAAAACAGGTTCCTTATTGTTTCCTGGGTCTGGTTAAAATACTTAGGCCAAGGCAGTAGCTGTAAGCGAAGATGCGTGAGAGTGTATTTGTTCGACATGGCCTCTTCTGAAACAATTAAGTGAGGGCATACATTTTTTCCCCCCTGTTACATGAGGATGCTAGTTAACCTATGTTTTAGTATATACCTACCTGAATTAAGAGAATTGAGGGGGGAGCATGGGGAGAAAAGTAGAATTTTTGCTTAGACAAGAGTGATCTTTTTCAATAAGTCCGCATGTCTAAGTGTTCTGGTATTTATTTACTTTAATTATACAAAAGCTGGAGCCTTTCCCAGTTTTTATAATCTAGCTGGGTCATTGTTTTTGTTTGCACACTTGCCGTGTTTCATAGTCTAATGTGCACACGCAGGTGAGATTTAGAAATCTTTGTGTCCCGAATGCTGTGGTCACCGCAGCCTGATCCTTAAGTGAGGAAAACGTATCGGTCCTTGAAAGACCGTGGTATGTATGTTATCAATACAAGGACGAAGCAGTCATAGCCCTGTGAGTCACTAAAGTTTCCCTTCTTTTCCTTCTCTCCTCCAGAACCTGAAAGCAGATCCAGAAGAGCTTTTCACCAAACTGGAGAAAATCGGGAAGGGCTCTTTTGGCGAGGTGTTCAAGGGCATTGACAATCGGACTCAGAAAGTGGTCGCCATAAAAATCATTGATCTGGAAGAGGCTGAAGATGAGATAGAGGACATTCAGCAGGAGATCACAGTGCTGAGTCAGTGTGACAGTCCCTACGTAACCAAATATTATGGATCCTATCTGAAGGTAAGGCTTAAAGATGCAGACGCGGTTTTCCACCATGCAGCACCTGACTGAGACGCGAGCCTCGGACGGGAAGGACTTTGATAAATAGCACAGCAGGTTTTCAGAGGAAGGAGAAGTGTTCTGACCTTCGCAGTCAAAGGAACCTGTCTCTAATGGTTCTGTCATCTTAAATGTCACTGGTAGAATGTATTTCTGGTGAAAAGTGTTCGATGTTGAAACTCCCTTTCAAACAAAGTATTTCTGAGTGAGACTTTGTCATCAGAAGTGCATTTCTTAAGCTATTATAACGACAACTACTCGTTACCTAATTTTAGCATGGTTTGTGATAAAAACTCAGGCCAACCTAAGAATATTAGTCTTTTGATATTTTCAGTTATCAAATGTGTTTTAATTTAGTGCTGTGTTTTTTTTTTTAAACTGCTAAGAATTGAGAATGTTGATTAGTGAGCTGGTTTACCTACATTTGACTTTGAAGAATTCCCGGTTAGTAAATAATTACTTAAAGTAGTAGCTATAATACAACACCGCAGATTGTCCTCGACCTTCACGCAGTTCTTCAAGTGGGAAAGAATCGTATTAAAGACGGTTTCCCAGCCCTGCATGGAAGCGTGTTGTACTCGTTGTGCTCTACCACTAGAAGAGTTTAAGATTGTCCCTTGTGTTTCAAGTTCCTTGACATATGCCCGTTCCACTGCCCTTAGAAATGTCATATCTTTCAAATGGGGTTTTGGAAATCTTAAGAATTGATGAAGAAATTTCTGCAACAATTCTCTGTGGAAATGAAAGCTTCACAGGTAGAAAGAACTTTTTCCTAAGGGAGGCAGCAATACGCCTGGATAATGTAGGACTAGGCCTCTTCCTGCCCTGGGTCCATCCTCTCAGTTCTCCATGTCGTAGCCCTCCACGTGTTCTGGTGTCAGAGGGCTGGTGCGGGCTTTGATTTCGTGGAAATGTAATAATAAGGTGTAAGTGGGAGGGTGGAATATTCGAGAACTGTTGATTCACTAAAATGAATATTTAAAGGAAATAAAAATTGGATGGTAATTCTCTGTTTTTTCAATTGCCTAAAGAATGGCAGTATGTCAGAGGTCAAATGCAGCATTTTGAAATGGGAAGAATAAGTTTCGGAGTCAGTTGTCCTGGACTTTGAGTTTTTTTAAAACTTCTTTACTTCCTCATTTGTAAAATGGAAAATTATGGTGTACACCTCGTTGTTGCAAAGATTAAATAGAACTGAGTATGTGAAAGTACCTGGCATGTAGTGGGTACTTGGGGAGTGTTAATTTCCTTCCTTAATTGATTGGGTTTATTTATTCACATTTATCTCTGACATTACCTTGTAGTGGAGGACATGTCCACTGAGGTGGAAGCAAGGAGGAGAGAGGGTAGCCCACGGTAGCCGGAGTGTTACTGTGAGGGGGGAGCATGCAGCTTGGGTCTTGACCAGGCAAAGAGGGGAGCACGGTAAGCTTTGTCATATCCATGATCCAAGAGGAGAGCACCTGTGACTTCCATAGGGCAAGCAGAGGTCTTCTTTATGTTAAACTTCCGTTGAGGAAAAACTCAACAGCTGAAGAGACTCGACTTGAACTCTGTCTACTGTATCAGTTACCCTTTGTGAAGTGACGTCAGCATAGTTGCATAGTGAATTCAGAGTTAGGTTTCATGTGGTATGTTGGTTTTTAATATGAATTATGGTAGTTTCGGCAAAGGAAGTGTGGAAGATCCTCACAGATTCTTGCTGACGTACACCAGCTAATATCTGACTGCCGTGGAAGTTCAGGATCAGTGGTTTGCAGCTGTCTCCTTCAGCCTGGGCTCCTCAGCGGAATTTTTTACTGCATGGCGAGGTGATTGCTTTATTGTGGCCAAATGCGGTGTCACCTTGACTGTACGTATCTAGAGATTCCATCTGGTATGTCCTGTCTTTCCTGAGTTGCTCATCTAACCTTGTTCTGTAGTGGGCCAGTGCATTTATTTAGTTAACCTAACGTCAGTTGCTGGCATAAACACCCTAGGTTTTTAGTGGCTCAATATGATAGAAGTTTATTTCTTGCTCACTCATAGCCCTGATCCATGGGTGGTTTTCCTCCAAGCAGTTACTCAGGAACCTAGTTCCTTCTGTCTTGCGGCTCTGCCTTCCTTACTCCACACGTGGGTGTGCTCGGCTGCCTTCAGTCAGCATGGGGGTGAAATTGGAGGCCCCTGAGGGGAGCTCTCGTATACCCAGGCCAGGACACAGGGCCCCTCGTTTCTGCTCACAACCCCCGGCCAGGCTCGGCCACGCGGCCGCACCTAACGAAGAGGGGCTGGGAACTGCCGTCCTATCGTGCGCTGCGCAGCAGAGCAGACGGGCTTGGGGCTGAGCTAGACGGTCCTTCCCAAGGCCCCTTTCTCCGCACGAGGTGGGTGGAGTGACCGCTGGGGCGACTTTCTCCACTGACTGTCCTCAGGTGGGATGAAGAGCTGGGATAATTTTGTCTGTAGTGCTTTATGTATTTTACCAGGCAGATTGTCCTTCAGAAAAGGTAACTGCCTCAGGAATGCCAGGAATAATACCACCGTCAGGAAAAGCTGCCCTTAATCTCTTAAGCCTTTCTGTCAAATTTGATGAAAACACGTGGACTGCTCTTGTTAAACAGTACTAGTAACTACCGTACGTTGAGCCGGACAAGAATCCAGACCGGACGTTCTGCCCGTTCTCGGTGTGAGAGAAGTTGCATGAGATGCCTTGGCCCAGAGGAAGACCCTCCGTCATGAGCCAGAGGCTGTTCTCCCGTCATCTTGGTAGCATTATGAGGTTTAATCAATACGGTCCAAACTGTCAAGTAAGATACAAATTAAATTGACGTGTAAGATGAATGGGTCTTTGACACAAAGTTGAAAATTACTGTGCCTTGTGTGGTTTTTACTGCCCTTCTAAAACTCCCCATAGCTTTCAGAGCTGGTCGTTTTAGTTCTTTAGGTGGTGATGGGGGAGGGGGCCTCAGGATTTCACCTTGTGTTAAGGGACTTTTACACAACAAGACTGGGTAAAGAGGAAATGAGCAGAAACTGGTTTCTCCTTTGCTGGATTTGCATTAGAAGATCTCATAATTACGTTTTCGTTTCAATCCTGTACTCCAGAAGGAGAAATTGAAAACAATAGATAAGTGGTCTAAATATACTGAATGTTACTGAAGATCAGGAGAGGGGCGTGAGTTTTGACTGTGTAGCTATAATCGAATTACAGAGTTGCTGTGTAGCATGTTTCTTCCCGAAATAGTAAAAACAGAAACAACAACTGACAATTCAGGGAGGAGGGGGAATAGTGCAACAGTGAAAACTTAGGTTTGTATTGATGAAGCTGAGGGCCGGAAAGGTCTTGAAGATTATCACATGCCATAGAAGAACTTCATTTGCTGTAGTTTGTTTAATTTTGGGGAAATTAAACCAGCTAGAATATTAACCAGAAGCCTTCGTATCCCAACCATTATACCACTGGAGCTTTTTTACTGCAAAAATACCATCCACAAGGTCACAGTGAAACCGTAGAGGGTGGGGTGGTGTGCAGGGGAGAGAGAGAGAGAGACTTTTTTGGTTTTATTTTTAAGTTAGGCAGTGAAGACATGATAAGATTGTAACAGTGGACAGTGAGGTGCTATAGAGGCGTCTGAACCTGATTTCTTTCTTTTTTTTTTTTTTTTTTTGTGGTACGTGGGCCTCTCACCGCTGTGGCCTCTCCCGCTGTGGAGCACAGGCTCCGGATGCACCGGCTCAGTGGCCATGGCTCACGGGCCCAGCCTCTCCACAGCATGTGGGATCTTCCCGGACCGGGGCACGAACCCGTGTCCCCTGCATCGGCAGGCGGACTCTCAACCACTGTGCCACCAGGGAAGCCCCTGATTTCTTTTTAAGCAGCATTCACAAGAGCTACTCATTCCATTCAGCAGCACAGCTCTTAAGGTTTTTTTTTTGTCTTGGGGAGATTGCCTGCCTCTTAGAATCTCTACTTTGAGATTCACTTAGAGTTATAAGCCAGGATTTTAGTTTGGATCCTAGTACAGTTACTTAACTGTCTGGATGTTTCTCAAGCTGCGGACTTCCTCAAGGACAAAATGCAGATAAATATACTTATCTTACAGGATTACTATAAAGATTGAGATCAGATAGGTTAAAGTGCCTGGCATGTTAGGGGATTTTTAGTAAGTGCTAATTTAAGAATTTTTTTTAAATTAAGGGAAAAGTTATTTTGCCAACTAACTCAAAATTTATGAGTTGTAAAAACATTATTAGCACACTAAAAATTAGGGTTATCATTTTCTTTTATAATAAATTATTTAATACTCTCAAACATCAGGCCAGTTTCACCAAAGCAAATCAGGTACAAGGCAAAACAAAACAAAACAAAACTGTTTATCAAACCTTTACTTGTCCTAGTCATTTTTGTTGTAGTTTCGCTATTAAGGAAACATGTCCATTGAGTGAGTAGTTGTCCAATAGTGGGTTCAGATCCTTGACTTAAGAGTAAGTTTTTCTTCAGTTCCTAAAAACTTTTAGGGTAGTTTTACCAATTGGATTCACCAGAAAACGAATACAGGAAAGTCCCTTTGTGTGTTTTAGCGTTGTATGTAAGTACAGATGATTCTGCTACGGTGTGTGTTATGTACATTAGACACATTTGGGGGTAATTTTTTAAAGTTATGTTCTTTGGACTTCTGATTTGCTCTTTTTCCCCTTTCCTTCCTTCCCCAAAGGGAAAGTAGTAATTCCTGATGAAACAGAAGTCCCAACCATTTTACGCTTAGGGAAAGAAGTGAAAAAATATTTATATAAATGGCTGGTGTCTTTGTGAATGGGGCTCCTCAGGGGGTTACCATCCACCCGCTGTGTTCACTTCTTGCCCCAGCATGACTATTAAAATAGCTGACTCTTTACTTTCAGAAGCATCCTAGCTTGGGCAATAGCATATAATCAGCCTCTTATGCTTCATAGCCAAAAAAAACCAGACAAAACTATAC